GAGCGATCCCGACAAGTCTAGTCGGAAATTTGCTCACTTATATATTGGTTTGTACACTCATTTTTCAATAATAGTCAGAACAAATCACATATATGAAAAATACATCATACAAGAATATCGTATGCTGTACGGAATAAAACGCCATAGCGGAAAACGAAACAAATACAATACTGAGTGATTACCAAATTGAATTAAACGGAATTAGTGTTGAATAAAAATCATAATGAGTAAATCAATCTAATTTTGACTTTTCATCCCGTCATAAAACTTTATTAGACTTTTCCGCGTCTGGACTAGAATTAAGATTACTCTAATACTAGAAATATCATCAGTTGTTTTAATAGCAAAACGATTTTGAATTGCACTGTATAGCACGAATTCCGATTAAACTGTGATGAGGTGTGACAGTTGTAGGGCCAGCGAAATTCCACTGAGCCCTAGCCAAATCATCCGGTAGTTGGGTCATTGAATATCGAACAAATCATCAATCCTCATCGAGGTCAAGGACAGCCAGCGCGCATATGTTTAATCGTACGCCATGGACTGGCCCATGCGGTAGTGGACTTGCTTTCGCTTGTATCTACTTTAACTAATATATTTCTGTAATAACGTCCTGTGTGTTGTACAGTCTTCAAACCATCTATAGTGCCTTGATACGTCAATGGGGTAATCCACGTAAGGCGCTGACCGCGAAGTGTGACTTCGGCGTTAGCTAGTTTGTCACACCACTCACGTCTAACTCGAGTAAGCCTCCAATCATTTCGACATAGATCATCTACGCTGGTGATCTACACAGTAATAGTAATGATTTATTTCTGTCAACGCAGGGATATACTATGTTCACGGGCATGAACAGTAATGTACGATAAGAATGTCCAGATAAAGTGCTATCGCATTAGTTGGAGAAGTATGGTCTATATTTAAGGGCAAACCTAGTTCAGTTACGTCCTTGTTTATACCATGCCTGGTACCACGTACACCAAATAACAGTCCACCATGGATAACAAAACAAGTCGAAAAACTTCTTAGACGCAGGAACAAGCACCAATATATGTTCATCTATACTGGCTTAGAACAGTACAAGTCCAGTCATTGTAGGATTAGGAATACTTGTAAAGCGTTAATAAGTAAGACTAGACGGTTATACAAACAACAATTGGTTAGGGATTGTAAACATAGCCCTAAACAGTTATTGTAGTATACAAAAAGACGGAATTCCATCAATTATGGTACAAAAAATTCGTTAATATCGGCAAGAAATGATATCGAAAAGGCTAAAGCTTTATCGGAATATTTCAGTAAGTTGTTCTCTATAAGTGTTGAGGAACGACCAACGATTTCTTGTGATTGTGGCGGCTTGTTGATGAACCCTGTAGTTATTAAGAAAGCTACTGTTTTAAGACTACTTCTGCATCTCAAACCGGATAAGTCCAGTGAGCCTGATGACATTCATCCTAGGATTATGAAAGTCCTATGAGATGTAATTGCTGAACCTTTAGCGATACTGTTCGATATGTCTCTGGAGAAGTTCAAACTGCCCAAAGACTAGAAAGACATGATAATCAGTCCTGTGTATAAGTCCGAGAGTAGAGTTTTGTTTAGTAACTGCGAATCCGTTAGATTAACTAGTGCAGTTGTAAAACTAATGTAAAAATTATTCAGGGAACAACATGGTTTTTGGAAAGGCCTATCATGTTTGACACATCTCATTGTAGGAAATTAGGCCGCGACAAAAGATCGAAATATTTTTGTAGATGTGATTTTCATAGATCTGAGTAAAGCCTTTAATAAAGTCTCCCATTCTAGTCTTAAATTAAAACTAGCAAGTCTTCGAATTCAACAGAAAAAAGATATTTTGATACTAGTTGTTTCTTTCTATCCAAAAGATGTGGTATTCTTCACGGTCGATTATTTCTTTTAGTTTTGATTCTATTCTAGAGTGTAGAAGTTTCTATTATACCTATTTATTTTGTGTTTTCAGTTGCGATAACATGAAAATTTTAGTCTTGCATGTTCCGTGCCTACCATCACGGGGCTATCAAAAAACTTATTCTAGAAATCAGTTTTCTTGTATCTGCTGCTTTTTAAAGCTTAAAAGGATTTCCATATCGTTCTCTTGGTGAGATCACTTAACAAATTCGATGACGCAAACAAAACATCCTTATGGTTGACCCACATGTTTTTAACGGCAGGAGATGGAGTGCAATATGACGACTGCAACGGTTTATATCACAACCCGAGCACCGAACTCACACCGACTGCGTATAAGTAGTGCTGAAAAGTATTATCACGTCAGCTATGCGAAGCATGTTGTTCTACAAATACTTCGCTGATTCTCGAGGTGACTAATTTGATAAATACACCTAGACAGTATACCAAAGATAGACGACATGTTCAAAATTAGCAGCTGTCAGATATCAACGAAGAGAAGAGCGTCATCGTGAGTCCATCTGCATATTTGAATGAAGCCATCAAGCTGGGTCCACATAACGAAGATATCAAATACAAAGATGAAAACATAGTTACAAAGGAAAAAAAGCTAGTAACGAAGAAGCAAATTACAGAAAGTTTCAATTACAGTCAGTTGGCAATTTTCTATAATGTAAGTGTTCTGAATAAACTTAAAGAACTAGCTCAATGAACATCGAGGTGTGACAAGAACATTTATTTAAATGTAAATTGGCATCGTATTCGCTTTGCCATGATGTCCTTGATTAGGACCGAAGTATCAAAATAAACTTTGTAACGCAGTAAATTGTTGTGCTATTTTCTTTAACACCATTATGATAGAAATATGTTAACCCAATCAAATCAGAAGTGAAGAGGTCCGCAGATATATTTGATGGGTTATCAATGTATCAAGAAGTGTTTGGTCGAAGCTAGTCAACAGGGTGCGTAGCAAGGTGTACCCACTCGTGATCTGTTGCTGATGCGTGACCGGGCGCTTTCAGCTAGGTGTATCCAGTAAAACTAACAAGGTCAGAACCAATATCAAAGGTAAATAAAACTATCCACTTCGCGGATTCGTTTACCACCACAAACCAACGCAAATAGTGTTAATATTATTAAGATAAGGAAGACCTTGAATTGCGAGAGCTCATTGCATTACTGTGAAGACTATGATGAAAAAACGATATATTGGACCCCAACCTACAGAATGGTAAAAGACCGATAGATGCTAGTCTTAAACAACAACTAGCATGATCCATGTATGTCAATCTTTCACGGATGTTGGCACTTCCCATTCATTTGAATATTAAAACTATTCTTGATCAAAATGGATTCAAATTTGTTTTTTTGATTGTTATTGTTTTTAAGCACACATTTGTAACGGAATAAATCTCGTGAACCTGCTGCAGTAGATAAGCCGGTAACATCGAAGGATAGTATAGCTTAGTCAGACTTTTATATTTTCAAAAAACGATGTATAAAACCTCACATTAACCGCATGACTTCAACAAACATTTCAGTCTCATCAAAAGTTTCCCAAATGGATTCGATGCTGAGGCCATTGGTAGTACAAGAAATTTTGTTCAGTATAATTCCTGACCAATATAACGCAAAGGGACAAGTCTGTTAACCCTTTTTATATGCTTCAACATAAATGTTTACGATTGTTCTAAGCGCTTTATAACATGATTGGCAAACTGCTTTCAGACCTCCAACAACAGCAACGAGTCACTTTAGATGAAAAGCATCCAAACTTCCATTGAGCTAGTAGGATTCGCAGTTCTTGTGTCTTCGTCATAACGACTTACTGCAGGCAAATTAGACCACCGCCACCAAATTAGCATATCACCGGTTAGATAAGTATGTCTTTAATCACAAATCCTTATCTGATTTACTGAACATCGGTTATTTTGAAGAGTCATTATTCAGCTACACTCCTAGCACCAATCTTATTGCTGAGCAACATAGACACTTTACCTTCTTAATTTGAATAAATTTCCCTAAACGAAGCTTTCATTTTCATCTCAACTAAGTAAACAAATGTTCTTAGTAGATATCGAGTAAAAGTTATACTGAGATTACTATCATCTACAGCTGCACTTTCAGTATGATCTAGTGATAGGTGAATGGGTCAAAGTATATGATAACGCGCTTCCATCCTGTGCAACACACTTCCATATATCAATAGAGATATAGACGGAATCTGTTGATGATAGAAAATCAGGTAATGTTACCTACATAAACTTCAGCAAAGCACTTGATTTGGTGCTGAATAAAAGACTCATCATAAAGCCGTTAAATCTAGTAATAGCTTAACTTCTTTTAAAGTGGATTTTTTAGTAGGCCATGGACAGATGTTAGTAGCAAAATTGGATTGTTCGTTCTAGAAACCAGTACTAAATGGAGTACGGCAAAATTCTGCCGTCGGCTTTTTATTTCTTAAGTTTTGTGTAAATGGATTCCCTGATGCTATTTTACACTAATATGTAGAAAAATTTGGCGAAAAACTACAGGAGACACAGATGCATATGCACTTTAAATGGACTCAGATGTTGTGATTAGTTGGTTTAATAAATGGCCTATGCCTATCAACGCGGCCGAGTGTGAAGACGCCACAGGTATTCGGAGTTTGACAACGCTCTAACCAGTAACACCTAATATGAAGCGTACCCACCAAGTGAAAACAAAAGACAGAAGTGAGGAGGTTCGAAGATATGTTTGAAAAGCTATCAATATATCGAGGATCGTCTGAACTAATCTGGCTAGCGATTGCAGTGGATGTTAAGCACGGCGTTCCGACACGTGATCTGTGCGAATGCATGACTGAGCGCCTTCAGCTAGATGAGTTCATTAAAACTAATGTGGTCAGCATCCAATGTCGAAAACTTACAGAGCTGTTTATTTTGGGAATTTACTTACCGCCACAAGGGATAAAAAGTTAAATTGGTGCAGTATAGGGAAAGAATCAGTCCCCGTGGTTCGGTCTAGCAATGATGTTGGCGTAACAGTGAAGCATGACCTTAAGACTATGACCCGCTTACCATGATATGATCAAATATCAATTCCAGTTTGAGTAGTCTTGACTTAGTGTTGTCATCCAAGGCTGGCGGTCAAGCATGTAGACGACCTTGGACTGATGCTTAGCCAAGTTGAGACTATGCCACAGAACATTAAGGTGCCAAAGTACGTCATGTTAAATGTTTAATATCAGAGGTACTATAGTGTGAAGGCAACGTAGCGAATATGCATTCATGTTAGACAAGGAACCTTTGCAGCTATCACATCCAGTAGCTTTCATCTGAATCCAGGGCTTTGACATTATAACATGATTTTTATATTTATTTACAACCCGAATATCCGCTTGTATTGAAGTGTTAGGAGGTGCTTTTAGACGCCAATAACTTCAGACAATTGACCGAATAAGGCAACGCCTGTTTAGTTTTAGTAAGTACCTGTATGCTTCTGAACCTGATATTGTCGTGCGTTAACTTGGGCATGATGGATTTGTTAGCTCTCAAACGGATATTCATTTCAAGTTTTTAGGAGCTAATTGAGTGATAATAAGTGTTCAATCGCGGTAACGATTGTTCGTACTGATTCTATGTAGCCCTCAGGTTGGTGAATACATGACTGAGAAATATTTGTTTAGTCCCTAACTTTGTTGCTGTAAGAAACTGAAGGTTTGTGTATTATCTTTTCTAGTACAAATTGAAACTTAATATAGAGATAAATTTGTGTTTCACACCAAACGTTTGCGCTTGTTTTCTAATTTTGTCTGCGTTACATATTACGCAGATAAATGTTTGAAAAGAAAGGCTCATCATGTCTCTTTTTATCATTTAGGACTACTACATACATGTAGCAAATGTTCTACAACTGGCTAGTTTGACGATTTTGAATGCCCATCTCTGATTCTACATTTTGTGTCAATTCCCAACACAAACTTTTAACTGTTTACACAGATTCGGCTCCGAATTCTCTGTCAGAACTTAATTGTCCCAATGTATTAGACTCGATTGGTGCCTTTGACCATGAAGGCACAAGCAATCGCACCTCTAATTCGGAAGCTGTTGGTAATTCTTTCGTCACTTTTGAGGTTTCTGAGACCGAGACATGTGCAAGCAACTTATCAGACGACTTTCAAACAGTTCCAGAATACTCATTACATACTGAGGTTTACGTACCAGCAACTTTTCCCAGTACGCTGTGCCGTTATTCAGATCAGACAAACACGGATAGTTATGGAGATATTGTTACTCAGAATTTGATGTGGCTTGCTGAGGAAGCTGTACATGCACCTCTTAATGTTATGACAGAACTTCCCCAGGATACAAATCTCATGTCTAATCTTCACCCGAATTATAAGGCAGATAGTATTTTAGAAAGTCATTTTTATGTTACTCTTCCACCTCATTCAGAAATCCCCGGAGCTTCACAACCATGTTACAGTTTCCAGGACGAAAACACTACTGATAATGGACAGAGTTCTGAGCAGATCCATATGTGTGTCGATAGCACAGCCCAAACTTTCTCATCAGAATTGGAATTAACTTCAGATTTAGTTCGTGTAAGCGGTTTCACCAGTGAGTCGAAAGACAACACAATGTCGTGGCCAAACTCTTCTAGTGACAGTTATTCCTATAATCCTCATTACTACAAAGGTGTTCCCAATTTTTCCATGAACTCATCTCTATGTATTCATACCGTGGAACCACATGAAGCCAGTGGAGAAAGTTACGTGAATGGTTTTACTGTATACCAAGGCCCTTCAAGCTCCGATGAACTACTTGATCAGACTTTTGAATATCCAGTCTGTGATTTCTTTCCCACGGATGGTCATAGTTATACTTCCTACGACCATTCTAAACCATCCTACTATAATAATTTTTCCGAAGGATTTAGTAGCGCGATAGTTTATCCAGATTGTGATCCAAATGGTTACGAAAGTGAACAGCATGATTGCTACACTGATAGTATATTCGTCTCCAGCTTTCCAGACTCATTGGTCACACAAGATAATACATATGTTTCCGCATATTTAATTCCTGATCAAAACTGCGATTCTCGTGTGAAGCAGTCGAACAGCTATCCGGATTCTGCGGTACACATCCCTTTCTGTACAGCATATGAAACAAATGCAAATAGTCTTCAATACAATAACTCAGTCCAATGTGCACATACATTTGAACTGCCTTCGGTAAGTTTTCTTGTGATCAACTGTTTGATCGTTTCTTTAAAGTGACCATTAATTAAAGTAAGGTAAAATACTTCATTGTTTTGCTACTGATTGTAGATTAGCGTTGCATTCGGGAACCGAAAATTTGTCAACAGAAAACGTTCACGTTGGGACAACAGCACCTAGCTGTTTTACTCTTATTTTTTTTTGATATAATCTAGTCATTCATTACAGGTTTGTGCACTGGCGTTTAAGCCACACACTGGGCAGTTAAGTATTATCTCTAGATCTTATCCAAATCAAATTAAGTGGAGCGGATTTCGAGCCTGTTTCCTGTTGGTCCAGTGATAGATGGGACTTTTCAGGCACATGCTTGTAATATATCTATATGTTGTTTCAATCGTACTCATATTTTTTCCAAGGATAAATATGAAATAAAAATTCTTAAGATTTTTCTGTATCCAGCTTGATGTAAGTGTTCTGAATAAACTTAAAGAACTAGCTCAATGAACATCGAGGTGTGACAAGAACATTTATTTAAATGTAAATTGGCGTCGTATTCGCTTTGCCATGATGTCCTTGATTAGGACCGAAGTATCAAAATAAACTTTGTAACGCAGTAAATTGTTGTGCTATTTTCTTTAACAAGTTCAACTGGTTTCAAACTAAAGTATTAACTCTGCAATGACTATTAACGGTGGGTCTGAACAAAAGTAAATTGGGAATGGTATCAGTTACCTATTTGTGATTATCAAAGGAGCTAACGTAACTGAGGTCAGTCTAATTTCCACTAAGGAAAGTAGGTCATTAATCATTAAGTAGAATATTTCCAGCTTTCTCTGGCGTGAAATTATTCACATTTCCTCTGTTTATTCAACAAAGTAAGTGCAATTTTGACAATAATCTGCGTTTTATCAAAGTGTGTATTTACATAGAGGAAGAAATAGGTGATTTTAATGAGTTATGTTTGCTAGTTTCAGTTTAGAATGGATAGATGGAACTCTTGAAATTTTTTCAGGATTACTGCCACTTCAAACCCCGGTAAAAAAGAAGGGTTAGGAATGTGGTTAGAAATGCCATCCTGTTGAAAAGAACCTTTGTAAGAGGCTCCAACCACAAAAAATCATTTTGGATATTCATACTTTGCCATGAGGACTGAAGAGTCTTCAGATAAGTTATGGTGCCTCACAATGAAAGCCGGGATTCTCCAAACATCATGAGGCTGATGCCCTTTCCGACGACCGAAGCAACAGTCAACGTAGATACATGGAATGTCTGGAAAATGTAGGAGACCGGAAGCACCATTTAAATAACTGCGGAAGTGATAGAATACAGTCTGCCAGTACCTGGAATGTGGGAAACCGATTGGATGCAATCTGGACAGAAAAGATTAGTGTCAGGAGAGGTGTTGTACTCTAGTTATGAAGGAGGAAATGCTTCGCAAACACAAGTATTTGCACCGATGCACTTCAAAGAAGCACGAAAATCGCCTGTAGGTTGGGAACTTCATGAATCCAGGATCATCAAAGCACCATTCAAAACACAGAGGCAGTGGCCTACAATGAATTCTATCCAGTGCTACGAGCACGCCAATAATAGGAGTAAGGATCGATCATGGACCGACCGAACTGCGACTCTACGGATCATTGCTGAGCAGTCGGTTGAATGGAACTCATCATCATACATAAACTTCCTTGACTATGAGAAGGCATTTGACAGCGTGGATAGGAGAACCTTGTCGAATTTTCAACACTAAGGAGTGTCTGAGAAAACCGTCTCGATCATACGGAACTCTTAAGACGGACTACACTGCAAAGTCGTGAATGGAGGACAACTGACAGATGCATTCCAAGTAAGGACTGGAGTCAGACAAGGCTGCTTACTCTCCCCCCTTTTTTTATTCTGGCTGTCGACTGGATTATGAAGGCCGTCGAATCCGAGGGTAAGCACAGAATACAGTGGATAGCTCAGATGCAACTAGACCATTTAGACTTCACAGGTGATCTAGCTGTTCCTCCCATACACACCAACAAATGCAGATGAAAACAACCAGTGTAGCAGCAGCCTCAACATACAGAAGGAAAAGCCGATACCCTCAAATAAAACACGGGGAACACCAACCTAATCACACCTGATGGAGAAACTCTGAAAGAGGTTGGATCTTTAACGTAACTGATCAGCATCATTGATAAACAAGGTGGATCCGATGCAGGAGTGGAAGCCCAGATTTACAAAGAAAGGTCAGCACTCCTACAATTGAAGAACATCTAGAACTCACAAAAATTGTCAGCCAACATTAAAGTCAAAATTTGCAACACAGACGTTAAGACGGTTCTGTTATACGGAGCTGAGGCTTGGGAAACTACCACAAATTGAAGTCTTAAAGGCTAAAGGAAAAGAGGGAAACCAAAGAGAAAGCACATGGGGCTGGAAATCGTAGACAGACATCAGGATGAATAGAACTTGGCAACAACTGGAAAGGAGAACCCAGGACAAAGTTGTGTTAGCGATTCCTGATCAGTAGATTATCCTCTAAGAGGGTCAAGAGAGGTTACAAGAAGGAGAAGAAGCAGATGGGTAAATGTGGGCTGTTCGTTACGGTAGTCATCAGGTAAAGTCTTTACAGATTGGTTTCGACCATGGGTAGTTTAATTATTTTTATTTATTTGCTGAACATAAATACGGTATAATCGAGCACCAAAAATACAACTCGAATAGTGTTAATATTATTAAGATAAGGAAGACCTTGATGTAGTCATGGTTAAAAGGAAAAAGAAAAAGCATGCAACGAAGAAGCGAATTACAGAAACCTTCAGTTAATGTGAGTTGACCATTTTCTATAAATTGAGAAAACATAGAAGTGAGGCCATTAAAACCATCACTTAGTTACAAGTTGTTAGGAACCTGGATCGCCCTAGTCTTATTTCAGTACATTCGAAATCCTACCAAGTATGACCTACAATACTCATCCGTTCCGGACTTAGTCTTCACATACGGTGATGTCAATAAAATAAAGCTCCTCCCAACCATAGGGAGAAGTGATTATGCAGTCATTTTAATCAATTTTATGGTCCGTATGGTCTGTCAAGAAGTTACTCCATTCTTTCTGACATATGTTAGGTAGACATGAAGACGATCAGCCCTGCGGCCTCAACGGAAAACTGGAATATTGACTTTGGAGCATCAGTACGAGAGGCGTAGACTCGTTTCCGACAGTTATACAGTCAAGTGACCGAGCCATTTACACCCATACAGCTCAAAAGAATAAACGCCGCCATCCATGGATAAACCGTGAGATTTGACGTTAACTAAGACAAAAGAAAAAAAGTTAGAATGTCGCCATTATCCTTGGTACAACACATAAGATGAAACGCTACAAGTCGACCCAAAGTAAGTGTATAAACACAATCGGAAGAACTCAGCAAAAATTCGAGAAACAGTTGACGCAATCTGAATTCAGGCAGCTGAGGAGATTGTTGTCATACATAAATTACAGAAAAATAATGCACTATCGGATCCCCAATCCTATTACGGAAGGGAGGGCATTCGAAGTGACAGAAGTATACCAGAACAAACCAGAGGTCATGGAGGACTATTTCGTAAGAGATTTTACTAGGAAGCCTCCTTCAGATAAAGAACTAGACCCAAGTACTAATTGACAAAATCGGCTGATCTCCATCGACTTTGATTGAAATGACGTACTAAAGGCACTTAGCAATTTAAACACAAAAATCAACGGGACAGGACTAAGTACACCCAAAAATATACATATCGCACAGTACATTACTGTGCCACTGACATCGATATTCCCTGTCTATGGATGCCACAGGTATTCGGAGTTTGACAACAACTTTACACAACACCATTATGATAGAAATATGTTAACCCAATCAAATCAGAAGTGAAGAGGTCCGCAGATATATTTGATGGGTTATCAATGTATCAAGAAGTGTTTGGTCGAAGCTAGTCAACAGGGTGCGTAGCAAGGTGTACCCACTCGTGATCTGTTGCTGATGCGTGACCGGGCGCTTTCAGCTAGGTGTATCCAGTAAAACTAACAAGGTCAGAACCAATATCAAAGGTAAATAAAACTATCCACTTCGCGGATTCGTTTACCACCACAAACCAACGCAAATAGTGTTAATATTATTAAGATAAGGAAGACCTTGAATTGCGAGAGCTCATTGCATTACTGTGAAGACTATGATGAAAAAACGATATATTGGACCCCAACCTACAGAATGGTAAAAGACCGATAGATGCTAGTCTTAAACAACAACTAGCATGATCCATGTATGTCAATCTTTCACGGATGTTGGCACTTCCCATTCATTTGAATATTAAAACTATTCTTGATCAAAATGGATTCAAATTTGTTTTTTTGATTGTTATTGTTTTTAAGCACACATTTGTAACGGAATAAATCTCGTGAACCTGCTGCAGTAGATAAGCCGGTAACATCGAAGGATAGTATAGCTTAGTCAGACTTTTATATTTTCAAAAAAACGATGTATAAAACCTCACATTAACCGCATGACTTCAACAAACATTTCAGTCTCATCAAAAGTTTCCCAAATGGATTCGATGCTGAGGCCATTGGTAGTACAAGAAATTTTGTTCAGTATAATTCCTGACCAATATAACGCAAAGGGACAAGTCTGTTAACCCTTTTTATATGCTTCAACATAAATGTTTACGATTGTTCTAAGCGCTTTATAACATGATTGGCAAACTGCTTTCAGACCTCCAACAACAGCAACGAGTCACTTTAGATGAAAAGCATCCAAACTTCCATTGAGCTAGTAGGATTCGCAGTTCTTGTGTCTTCGTCATAACGACTTACTGCAGGCAAATTAGACCACCGCCACCAAATTAGCATATCACCGGTTAGATAAGTATGTCTTTAATCACAAATCCTTATCTGATTTACTGAACATCGGTTATTTTGAAGAGTCATTATTCAGCTACACTCCTAGCACCAATCTTATTGCTGAGCAACATAGACACTTTACCTTCTTAATTTGAATAAATTTCCCTAAACGAAGCTTTCATTTTCATCTCAACTAAGTAAACAAATGTTCTTAGTAGATATCGAGTAAAAGTTATACTGAGATTACTATCATCTACAGCTGCACTTTCAGTATGATCTAGTGATAGGTGAATGGGTCAAAGTATATGAAGCCGCGCTTCCACATGCAATACCTTGATGGAAGACGAAGTACTCATGTTGTTAGTGAGTTTTTAGGTTCCAATACCAAGTTTGAACTTAATAGGTTTAAATTAATTTAACGTTGGGTAGAAATCTAGTAATGATAATATTTTTTATGATATCCTATTGATTAAAAATTTGTATTTCTGACGTTTCTTGACCTGATGTAAATCGCTTCTTCAGAGTTAATAAATTAAAGTTGATAATCGACTAAAGATCAGTCCTTAATATTTTCAAAAGTACATGAACCTCATTATTATTTTCATGGTTTTCGTACCTGTGAAAATCATATAATAGGCGTTAAGCATGTATAAGACTGTCGTTAGAGATTCCAAGAGAATTACTTTCTGTGTCCTTGACTACATCTAAAATCTGCCTAAATGTTTGATTTTTCCCTTTATTGGACTTCATTAGAGAGCTGAACAGAGTTCCCGTGTTCATGTAAACTACAGGTTGGTTGCTGTCTTTTAGGACAAGTGAGATACTAATGCTTTCATAGCAAGTAAGTAGGATTTGAATCTTTTTCTTTTCCTCGCTCTAATCAACAAATTATCTATTTTCATCGCCTTGTTCTTTCTTGATTTTATTCTTGAAAAAGCTTAACAATACACGATACATGGTTCAAAATATTTCGGTCCTGTAATTTGTTTTTTTTAATTTAAGGCAACATTTTTGACCGATACAAATCAGCAATCAGCACGTAATGCTTCTGTATACGCACCAGCCGTGGTTTACCCTTACAGTAATACAAAGTCGGAATCGCTTCCTAACAACACGGAGTATTCATCTGTGGAAAACGTCCCAGCCAAGTGTGTACCTGTGATTCCTCCTGTCATTTCTGAGAATAATAACACAGTTTCCAAAAAATCGAAGTGGATTTGTACTCATTGTTCTTTGAGTTTTACACGTCCAAGTCACTTGGTAGATCATTTTCGTATTCACACCGGTGAAAGACCTTACAAGTGTATTTTATGTGGACGTCAATTCACTCAAGCTTCTAACCTTCGCCGACATCTCTCAAGTCACAGAGCTTGGCCACCAGTGTCATCTGTAACTGCTGCTGCATCCAGTGGGCACGAAAATTCGGAAATGGTTCCAAAGAACACTGAAGTAAGTGTATGTTTGTAGGATTACGGTGCTTTTTTTTTCTGACTAAGATCTTCAGTGGTATCTATGTAATCAGACTTTCGAATTTCGCAAGTTATTTGTCTTACATTTCGTCCTAGCCTCTTTTCTAGTTTTATCTATGCGAAGTTCTACTATTTTACTGTTACTCAGATAATCAGAATCCTCAATAATTCGTCTGATTTGTTCTTTCCACCAGTGAATTTAAATACTCTTGTTTAAAGTTATTGAATTAAACAAACTGAAGTGAGAGCAAAACAAAATAGACTAGTTTTTGTGTGTAATTTCTTTATAAAGATTTTAAACAACCATGGTATCTTCATAAATTTATTGGCTATCTTCATTGTTTCGTGAGATATTTTGTGAATATATTCTCACCACATCATTGTGAATGTGAGTAGGTCCTCTCATGACCCATTCATTAACGTCTGATTCAACTTGATTTGATATTTTAAGATAATGGTAGACATATTGGATATCGTATTCCGTCGGATTAATGATAATTTCGTGCATGTTACGCTAGTTTTGTTCAGGCATGTACTTATTACAGTGGGTGTACTAACATTAAAGCAATTGAATATGTGTTAACATGTACAAGTTTGTAAATGCATTTCGCGACGACCGCAGATACAGTTTACAGACATTACGTTTACATGTATGATTTAAGGGTTTAATATGAACTAATCTTTACTAATGGGTTTTGGTTTTCTATCTACTATAGGTGGTAACTAACCCTACTTCGTGTCGCCATGTGTCTCCTAAAATTTGGATATGTCGGTTTTGTGATCAACGATTTGAAACATACATACAACTTCGGGCTCATATAGTACATCATAAAGACAAGCAGGTAATTTTAGTTTAGACGACCGTATAGATAGATATTCTTGTAGAGATTGTAAGTTTGGGATTGTTTGCCGTTAATATTTTTTAAAATTTACCGTCAACACTGAATATTTTGTTGATTGAAAAATGTCATTTTTAGTTCACGTTTTTCCCTCGTTTCCGCTTCCGTTAGTAATATTACAACACTGGCACATAAATTTGTTGATAATGTGTTATCTTAAATTTGATTGTTCTGGATTAATAAGACTCTAGACGAGTTGTGTATTAGGTTCGACTGTGGTGTAATAGTCTAAGAAATATAGCGTCAACTTTAGGTTGTAACTTTGAAAGGCGAATTGATGTCCTCGGATCTGGACTTCATATTATCATTGTTCTACCTTACATATTGAGCACCTGAACCTCTTATTCATGGATAAGTTGCAGAAATTTTTGTTTGACTCATTATATGATAGAGTTATAATAAAATTTATATACTCATGATTTATATTGGTGTTACGTAATTGGCCTATTCAACCCCTGTAGGATTTTTAAATGATTTTTATTTTTTAGGTTTATGCATGTGTATTTTCTGATTGTAACTCCTCTTTTTCATCACCAAACAGTTTGTTAAATCATTTGTTAGAAAAACATCGAGTTAACAGGAGTGACAAACTTGCATGTCAAACTTGCGACCAAAAATTTCACGGTAATTTCGATTTTAATCTTATGATGAATTTTATTATATTCGTTCTTATTCTTGATTTTTTTGTTCGTTATGTACCATTCCTGTAGTTAGTGGCTTGTGCTCCAAAGTTTCAGGGGTTCTCCTGTTAGGGTTGACAAAAGTATGTTAGTTACCGATACTTTCGTATTGGTAGTGTAGTACTTGACCCATTAACTCGATATTACACTATTCATAGCAATAAGGTTACTGTGATAGAGGTCAAGTGTTGCATGGAATTACAGCGTACCTTTTTCTGAGGAAATCGTAAAAGGCTTTCGGTGATATGCATCGTTTTTGAGAAAGTCGTTTGTTAATTAAGGAAATGTTGAATGTTATGTTAGTGCGGAGGCAACTTCGTAGTTAGAGCACGAAGCTTTCACTGAGTAGATCTCAGATTCAAACCCTGGTCTGTTTGTCTCACTTCAGGTGTCCGGGTAGCATCACTATCTCTCGCAAACAGTGTGGATCAAAGCTGAGTAATATAAAACTGTACATGATAAACGAGTCACTCATGGTATGATATTCTGTACAATACCAAGGGACTTCATACTCTTGTTTCGAATATCCGTGTGATGAGCTAATATCCATGAATATTTTAATAAACACTTGTGTGAGCATTTTTGAATGTTCTAACGTAAACTTAGGCCATGACTATTTAAATTGTAGATTTTTCTTAAATCGTTTTATTAATCAATAACTGTTTATTCAACAAACGAATAGTCTGATAGTTAGCAGTATTGTACTACCATTCTTGTTTAACTTTGTCGTTGATGTGCTTTTAGAGATAACACTTTCTTCATCTACATTTCCAGGAGTTGAACTTTTACCGGGAAATTCACTTGTTGACTTAGAATATGCCGATGACATAGTTCTATTTGGTGAAGACTCTGACATAATGCAGGCTTTGTTCGGGATACAATTCTCCCCATCGAAATGCAAAATTTTGCCTCAGGATTGGGTGGCATCGGCACCTGAACTAATGATAGGGAGTGAAGTATTTGAGCGTGTCGACCGCTTCACTTATCTTGAGAGTCTCATCAACCACCGACTGCCCCGACGTCCGATGTTTTATAGCGTAGGAGTAGGTTGGAAGAAAACTAGTGGCGGCCAGACCAAAACTTGGCACAAATCCATGAAGTTGCTGACAAGTGAACTGAGTCATGTTGGTAGGTGTAGACTACCTGGTTGGGATCCGCAAGATGATAGCAATCGATGGTTAGAGACCTTGAATGACATGGCTCAAAATCGTTTGCAATGACGCGGGTGCATCCACTCTTTGTGTTCTCTCAAACTCTAATCTTCTGAATTCTTCATGTCCTTTACTTTCTCTCCAAATTTATTTCACTGAATTATACTCCTTGAATAATATTTTTAAACCCTAATCTTTCCGATTATTTTTTATACTTTTACTACCTCTACCACAATGGGATTTGAATCGACAATTGTATTTGTGCGCTAATGTGGTATGGTAACGAACTGATGTACGTATGTCAGTCAGTCAGCTGCAACGTAGGACCAGGCACGTATATTATGCATCGGTCCAAGTCGCCATACCTCATTAGCACAACAAGATGAACACCGGATTCATAGTAGTTAATTCAGTGGTGGTAATATATAGAAGAAAGATTGCATATAAGGAGGTAGTACAGGAAGAAAGAATTAGTACGTAGAAAGAAAGATATGAAGTGATTTTAATCTCTTAGTTTAAAGGAAGACAGAGAGTGTATACACCGACGCCATTGTGATCGGTTCTGAGCCATGTCACCAAGAGTCTCCAACCATCGCCTACGATAGTCACGCGGACCCCAACCAGGTAGTCTGCATCTACCAACATGGCTCAGACTAAAAGTTAGTGTCTTCAGGCACTGATGCCACGTTTTGGTATGGCCGCCCCTAACTTTCTTTCAATTATCCCTAACAGCGGTTAGCATTGCGCTTCGTGGTAATCGGTGTTCAGGCATACGCAACACGTGGCCCAACCATCTCAGTCGATGAAGATTCATAACCTCATCAACTGATTTACCATCATTTTCTAATACCCTGCGTCTAACCTCACTATTGCTTACCCAGTGATCCCTGCAGATGCGAGCAATATCTCTAAGGCATCTGTGGTCAAATATTTGTGGCTTACGAGTATCTTCCACTCTTAGTGACCACGTTTCGCAGCCGTATAGTAGAAAGGAACGAACTGCCGCCCAGTATACTCGTCCCTTAATTGATAGACGGATATTTCACCTTCGCGATAGGTGACGTAAGTTGGCAGAGGCCAAACGAGCTTTCCGAATCAGTGCCGAGATTTCGTCAGACACCAACCCATCAGGGCTGATCAGACTTCCAAGATAAGTGAAGTTTTCAACGCGTTCGACTACTTCACTCCCTATCCTTAGTTCAGGTGTTGACGCATACCATCCTGAAGCAACAACTTGCATTTAGAGGGAGAGATGCGCATTCCAAACATTGTTGCTCAGTGCTATCAAAACACTCTGCATTTCATCAGCGTCTTCACCAAACAGGACTATGTCATCTGCGTATCCTAAGTCGATAAGTGGACCTACTGGTAAGAGATCGATGCCTGAAAATTCAGTCGATGAGAGCGTTATTTCTATCAGTAGATCTATGATGAAGTTAAACAAAAATGGAGAAAGTGGGCAGCCTTGACGGACAACACTTGAGGTTGCAAAAGCAGATGACAGTTCTCCATAAGCTCTGACTCGACTAGTAGTGTTCGAGTAAAGAACTTAAGTTTGACATCAGTTGTTCCTGGAATCTACTTTCGGCTTTCTCATTACTCAGTTCAGTTCTAATGGGTCTTTTTAGTGTGGCTATTTTGCGTCCAGTGGGGCGCATGCAGATGCGTGCTCGTATTAGGGCATGGTCGGAGTCAAGACAGGTACTCCAGAATGAGCGATAATCTTCTATCGACCCTCTCCAACGATGACTGATGGCAATATGATCTATTTGAGTCCATCGTTGATTTGGTGCAGCGGTCGCCATGTTAGACGGTGTCTCTCCTTATGCTTAAAATTTGTTTGCTAAAAATAAACGGTTGTCTGAGCACAGTTGCAGCAAACGATCACCATTATCTGTTCGCTGTGCCGGAATATTAAATAACCACCTAAATGTCTTTCTGTTTTGTTTAAGCTACCTACCTGGGCATTAAAGTCGCCTGCTACGAGTACTATGTCTGAATGTTTAGCTTTCTAGAGGAGTTCGGAAAGCTTTCTGTAAAATTCATCTTTCATTTCATCAGTGGAAGCGTAGGCATAAACGACGAAAAGGCAACGACTTGTGTCCCTATCCTTCCGAGTTCTTACGGAGCCGTTTAGCCGAACAGCGCATAGACGACTGTTAACGGGGATCCACTCTAATAGCGCTTATTCCGCCCTCATGCTTAGTGCTATACCTACACCTGCCAGTCCACGAAAACTAGCCATCGGGTCGCCAGATACACGGAGGGTGTATCTCGTCGGGTCTCCGTTTTACCGAGGTGAGTTCAAGTGAATGACCACACTAGGATCCTGTATGCGTGTTTCAGAGACACAGCATACATCAATGGTACGAGATTCTAGGGTTTTAGCTAAGGAAGCCTTCTGACCGATATGACAGTGTGCGTACGTTGAAGTCTCCAATGTGTAGTTTGGAGCGAAGTTGTACGTTGTTACTGACTGACCTTGGAGTTAAAAATGTTTAGTTGTTTCAATTTAAATTTATTTTAATGCACAGCGTTTTTAATTTACCAAAATTTCATGATATAGTAGAAATTCAAACTGAGAGTTTGTATTAAATGTAAACATCATTGTTCAACACCATTGAAAAACTGTTGTAAAATGTGTTGTTTTATCCTGCCACATTTCAATCTGTACTATTTAATAGTTTTTATTGTGAAAAGACACTACTTACTATGAATCCGCTATTAAATGGATTCAGAAGACAGTATATACTGTCAGTCACTAACAGTATTTATATTGATATACTGACTGATTGCTAGAGCTTCTAGACATGCAGCAATGTTAGAAAATTTTAATAATTTGATTGTCCGGTTCTTAATTTACCAAACAAATAGTTTTTGAATATTCTTTGATAAAAACTTCAAAAACGTCACTAATAAACAAGATAGCTTTCACTTTTTTTTTTAAAAAAAAATGAAGATTTCTTGCATCTTGTTCGACACTTGTTGCCCCGACGTAATGGATGTAACTCCGGTTGTCCTATGCTGTATATTAGATCAAGAAAAAAGGAAAGTAAATTGTTGAAGAGGAATCGTAAATTTATTTCACACCATAGGTCTAATAATGGACAGGATGTAGAACGAGGTTCAAAGTCGTCAGCTGAATACTCCAGTACTGCTAATTATTTGGATCCGACATTCCGTCTACTTCCTTTACAAAGATTCAAAAAAGATAATTCATTATTTGGATTCAAGTAAGAAATTGTTTCACATATATTGTACAACTGATTTTATAGTCTTAAAAATGTTTTCACTAACTTAGAATGAGTATGGAATGAAAATTTAGCTACATCCGTGCGCGCCTGATTTAAGTGTTCCGTAACCGTAATGCTTTACTGATATGACCCTTTAAATCGTTTCTGGTTGTTCTTCATAATATATCCAATATTTAGAGTTAGTTGGTATCATGTATGCAATTTCTTTGTGTTATTGTAGTGAACAAGAACACCAATAGAGACAATCGAATGTGTTTGACAACAAATTACAGAACTAGTTATTAAAATCTAACAACCATATAATAAATCAATCCATCATATCAAACTGGACTGTTCCTGTTGCAAACATCAACCGATTGTCTGACATTTCATTGTTCATGAGTTTCCATAAAAATTCCATTGTGTTCCCGCTCTTTCTTTCTTGATCTTCCCCCATCTTCTGCTGCCAGACATTACGTTTACAACTCGCGTCATATACTACTTATATCAACATAAGTAGCGCGCAGCACATCATAACGCTCGGTTTTCCACGTTTACACGACTGGGACGTTTATTTACCTTAGACGAATATCTACACTAGATTCCCTCCCAGTGTCTATTCTATAGGACTTCAACGCAACTCAGATAAAGAACACGTGATTAACCTAACTAGAACGTAAATATATTTCCACACCAAAAACCGACAACAATCCGACACAATACAACAGCAATCAACAAACAGCCAACTATAATAATAAGGATAGGAAAATATGCGACTCATCTAACGCCTGTCAGACTATCTACAAGTCTGACTAAGCAAAAAACCAATCATTATCATTCTCGCCCACACATCACTTTGCTTGAAACTAGAAAAATTGATCCCATACTGGTTGAACTTATAATCATCCCTCCAATCCATTTGTTAAAGCTTATTAAGAGTGCTGATCGAACATTGAATGTAGTATTGATAAGAATTCTGTCACGCGTGTAGGCATTATGTCAATCTCCCCTAGAATTCTGAATCTATGAGACAGTCGTTTTAAAATCAATGACGACCACTGGTCTCAATTCACGGCGACAAATGTCTTCGTAAGTGGTTGAAGACATTTGGTACGGAACTCTGGATCTAACTGCCCATAGTCTTTACATCACGGTAATTGATGCTTCTCTAGATATTTGAAACTGTTTTGTCTACTGATGTCGAAAATTTCACTGAGGTTTTTAGAGTTCAGTACTGAATCACTTAATATGGAGATAACATTGGACATCTTTAAAATTCTATGATCACGAAGAGCTAGGTTTGATGAAAAAATTACTATTCAGTAATCGAATAGCGTTTCTTTTCATTGGCAATTAAGTTTACTAATTTCTAGTGGCAAGTGTTAACTGGTAACCTGAGATTCTTAAGATATGTAATTTTCACTTGTAGCCTGAAAGTTTCGAGTTCTTGTGTATTCCAAGTTCTTTTGACGCTCAATAGTAGTACTCCGACTGAAGTGGTTCTCATAATATTGAATTCACTTTTTCATGTAAATGAAGATTAACATTAAAATTGATGTATTGAAGCATTTCATATGTTTCCTAACAATTATGATATCATTATTTTTCCCGGTGATTACAGGTGCCCGTTTTGTGTGAAAATTTGCAAAAGTCTTAAACATATCCATGCTCATTTGTCTGATAGACATTCAAGCCTAATCAATCTTTCAGTATTCAAATCTGCCTTGTCCAACAATACTATGAATGATGACACTAATAATACAGTTTCCCTTCCGCGTAATACAGATTCGTCTTTCAGTGATGGTGAATCTTCTAAAACAGCCTTGTTTCTTCTTCAACTAGAAAAGTGTATGTTATCTCATGGAAATCACCTAGAATCTAACAAAAATCCACCTAAAATATTTGTATGCAAATTTTGTGGCAAAAGTTTTCAAAAACAGAAGTTTTTTAGTGATCACGAGTTGATGTGTCAACAGGTTAGTATATATTTTAGAGTTTGTACTTAACTATTTCACACTTTTACTTTTGAAGTCCTTTTGTTGTACTACATGATAATCTAGATACTATAGACTCGGTTTAATGACCATTCATGGTTAGAGATTACTCACTAAGCTTTGATGATTGGTTGGTTCACATAATATCTTTCGGAATCTATGTTGTTCTAAATTGTCCAACTCATCAACAAAAAGCGAAATCTAACAAAATGAAAGCGAATACTTGGAAGTAATTGTTTTTGACGGTAGGTACTAAGTAGTTCAACAGTGATTTATGAAGTCTTGAGAAATATAGTATTACGTTATTATTTATTTTAACACATAGATATTGGTGCAAGGAGGCACCAAATACAGATGCTCCACACAGATTTTAATTGATATGTGTGAGGGCTGTCATACTGCCCGGGTGCCCAAACCGAAGCAAGTGGTTCTCTTAGGGGGCCACACCTCGAGACTTCGACCTGAAGATCTGATCCACCAGGCAGTGGAGCATCGTAAGGAGATTCATTTCCATTGTAGCCGGTGACCAACGACTGGTTCATACGCCATTTGTTCCTTCAGGATACTGGAGCCCATGTGCACCATTGATTTGGGATCCGGTTAAAGCGCCAGACATTCGCTTTTCGTCCTCTCATTTTCGTAAACAACAACCCCGTCACGAGAAGGCAGTGAGTAAGACTTCCCTGTCAGAGGCTGTATACGCGTGGCCATGTGAGAGCATTTCGAGGAGAGTGGACTCTCTCCACTCTCGGCCGTACCAGACTATTTCAGAATGCGTGTCAGTATACAAATAGATTATGGTTAATACAAAAGGAATGCAACATTAAAAAGGGTAGATTATTCGAAATGATGTGATCCATAACTTGTCTTCGTTGAATACTTTTTACAAGAATTTTAATAATGTGAATCATATAATGTAAATGAAATGCATCATCATAGGTTATAAGATTTCGAAGAATAGCACTTATAGGAGTCATACGTCGTAAAAGTCATCAGTCTTGTAAACAAGATTTGTCTTTAGTAAGCATTGTAAGAAGAACGCAAAGAAGTGGCATAGATAGGACATCGTGAGCTCTTTGAAATAGTAGATGTCACTAAAAATACATTGGTTAGGAATAAGTATTTTCTTAGAAGGAGGACCTGAGCGTCACGTTTGCGAGTGAATATTACAGCGAAGAGCTATTCCAGTTACTTTAGAGGATACTTAGTAACATTTACAATAAGAGAGCATGAAAAACACCGAAATTTACTGTCATATGTCTATCGTTATGTATTTACTTGATTGTTCCGTAACATACTGATTATAATTGGTTTCATTTAAACTAATCAACTGTTCTTTACATATTCTTAAAATAACGAAATGACCCAATTAGGACAAGGTTTGGGACTTACTAAGAATAGCGTAAAGGATTCACAACATAAGACTGTTATATCATCAACAGATAAGATATCGACATCTAGCGAAGTTTAATAATTATACGTTATAGTAACATTGGTCACACATTTAAAGTCCCTATAATTTCACTAGTGGAGTGAGATATAATTGCTGATATAATCCTTTTTCAAGACAATATCAGAAGAGAGAAAATTATCAATGTATCATGCAAGCGATAACAGTGAATGTATTTCTGACATAGTCGTGCTCTACGTTAATATATTCACAACCATAATTCCAACACAGTGAAGGAAACTACTTTCTTTTTCTTTTCTGTCTCGCCATCTAGAGAGAAGTTCGGTGTTGTTATGGAAGTTTTGTTTATGGTGACCCCAGTAGAATAAAAAATGTATTGGAGTTAATCGGTTAAATAACAGTTACAAGGATTAGGATTCATAAACTGTATGGTTGTCGCTAAGCACAGTGATAGTAAAAATATATTTAAAGTGCACATAGTAATGCAACGAAAATGTGTTAAAAATTGACATTGCATCCACCTGCAATTCACTTTAAACTGATGTTAAGCGCCTTCCTCATAGGTTATATTTAGGGATTACACATCCTCAACAATTTCAAAGATAGATTATGGTAAATCGTAAAGTAATTTATACAGAGATTAAATTTAGAATGAGATATTTTCACTTTTGACAGATATAACTGTAATTCTTCTTGTATTAGTGGATGCAGAAGATGATTTATTTGATATATTAAAGTAAAAATTAGATTTAGACTCAGTCGCCACTTCCGTAAGGTATCAGTGAATCTGGGCTTGTAGTTTAAAGTGCATACACTCGTGAAAATACGGAGCATAAGACTCTGCTAAACAGATTCCTAGCTCAGTTAATCTTTAATGCCATAACTAATAAGAATAAAAAATATGATCTTCTGGTAGTGTTCAAGCACATGCTTGTACTATAGAATACATGATTCGTTGTTATTTAAGCTACATGTCATACAACCAAGAAGTCTTCATAAGTAAGACGTCCACATTTTAACTTAATTTAAGAGGAACGAATTGTAAGAATATCTTAGTCCTAAGTTTACCACTGAACGTAACCTAGGCAGCACCTTAACATGTGTGGTGAAGTCGAAGTTGAGAAGAGAATCACTAAACAAATCCATCCACATTTACCAATGCTATGTTCCACATTTCATTTTGAGCACTGTAAAGTAACCTTACTTAGCTCCGTACAGATACAGTTTTGTATACGGGTAACCTCATGAGAGGAAAATGAATACACAACCTTAAGATCATCTGCTTACAGAAAAGGTTTACCCATTCTGAAGCATTTTCAGATATTTATATAAACTATAGAGAGTAGAAGACATAGGATATCACCTTGTATTACACCACTCGTGATTGGAAGTGCATCCGATTAGTTTTTCCAACCCTTGTGTATCAGTGAAGGAAAGTTTAATAATCGTTTGATTGTTAATGGCTTAAGTATTCATCAAAAGATAGATAGGGAAATTATCATTGGGAAATGATGGCTCAGCATGATAAGATAAAATGTTGAAATAGAGATAAAATGTAATCGGAATGATTGTGGGAATAAAAACAAAACAGTTGGGGGTAGAAGATTTAAGGGGAAGATGGAAGGTGAAGCAGATGGCTGTAAAGAAACAAGAGTATGAAAAAGAGAGAAAAATTTTAATATATTAAGACTATGGTAAAAGAAGAGGTTGTCTCCGCCTCTGCATCTCCACTGGGAGACGTAATATCGGGAGCCACAATATATATATATATATATATATATATATATATATATATATATATATTCATTTACGTCATTGCACCCTATCCGATCACACTAATGGCTAAGTATTCATTGAAACAGCTATCTTTACAGCCTTCGATTAGTAACTATTGCCATTTATATGGCTGCCGACGCTACCACTTATATCTTTGGCATGGCCGTATGAACCACATGCTCTCTTAAAACTGCCTCATGACAGTTGAGAAATCGAAGTGTGGGCGCGCTCTTATAAATAGGAGAATTATTTATTTAGTTGAGGTTCCAGTCCATATGTGCCGGGCTTGGTTATTTCAGTAACTTATACGTACGAATTAGTTTTTTGTGTTGTTATTCGTCTTTAGGAATAGGGCTCCCTCCATAGTCTTGGCACTGTCACTCTGGCTAGTTAGGCTATTGAAGTGTTAAACAACGCAAATTAGTAACTGAATCAGACTACAAAATACATTAATTACTCAACATTATTACGCGTTTCATTTAACGTTGACTAACTGAATAAAATGCAGAATAAGCTTTCGAATTATGTCTGATTGGGTAAGGCTCATCACAAAAGTGCTCCTGTAACCTTGGAAGAAACTGATTGCTCTGCTTAAAATTTCTGAAACAATAGAGCTTGCCGCTAGGTTAAAAGTATATATTACTTATGAGTTCCAGGAAACATGACACCTAGTTCTGAGGAATCATGATGATACAATACCAACCTTGACGATTTTTAATTTATCCATTGTAGATTTTTTTTTGGCTTATTTTTTTCATTTGTTTTCACCTTTACCGGTTAATTTGTATTCCTCTCAAGTCAATTCAAGAACGAGCACGTCGAATTCGTCTTAGAGCCAATAAACGACAAAAGTTTTTCGTTTCACAGAAAAGTAATATTGAATTGGATATGAATTTATGCACTGATATCACTCCTCCAAATCAAGATTTCGTCCTTTGTAATTCAGAGGATTCAGTTTCAGCGCTTAGAAGATCCACACGTAATAAAACATTTCATACATTTTGGAAACCTAAACCAACTCGTCGAAAGCGTAATTTTGAATCCGTCTGCTGATTAAAAATAAACAGGCTCAGTTCTAAAATAAATTTTCAGGTATTAAATTATAAAATATATTCATACTCTTTACCTCTCTGCACAGACAACACTTATTGATTTTGTTAGGATATAGATATTTGGTAATCTAGCGGTTTTTGTACATATTACTTAGTCCATTGAATCTAGTTTGTATAAATTCACCTATTTTAATTGGTTTATTAAATTTTCTCACAGCTTTTCTTTAGGAAATATTCAAGAAGCAACGAGTGAACTAAAATTTCCACCTTATTTTTACAAGCTCTTATATTAGCGATTTATGATTTTCGGTATATCATTTGGTTGGTAACTAAACCATTCAACTCTCAGTTGACAAGTCCCGTTTTCGAACCTCGACCTACTTATTTCGGTTTGGGTGCTTAATAAGAGTATTAACTTGCTCACAAGTTATAACTTAAAGTCATGTAAATAAATTTGTTTTTGGTAGATGTATAATACTTGATTGTCACTACATAAAAAGAGAACTGATGAAATTGTCTGGGTATAATGAAATTTTATCTACTGAATTATTTCTGGGGTACATAGAAGAAATAGCTAACAATTGTTAAAAATTATACAGTAAAATTGATGTCGTAAAGAGACAGAGAATGATGGGTGAGTATAATAAAAGGAAGAGCAACAATAAACAGAAATTAGTGTATGGGAGTTGAATAACAATAATTAGAGGAACTGTTCAGTTAGGAAAAATACAACCAGAAAGAATTCTTTCAGTTAGAGAAGTTATGTCCATATTTTATGGGGAAAGTAAAAGAAAGTTACAGCAAGATCACCACTGGCTTGTATTCTGAGCCATGTCTGATAACGTCTCTAGTTACTGTGCTGTGCCATCTTTAGGACCCCAACCAGGGAGTCGTGAAGGACCAACAAAAGTCAACCCTGTACAGCTTTCTTTCATGCTACGACACCATTTCATACACCGATCAACTTTCCGCTTTTTTCAACCGGTCTCAGTGTCGTCAAATGATGCACGTCGTGGAATTCGCTGGGACGACATTCGTAAGACACGTCCAAGCCACCGAAGTTAATATTTCGAGATAGTGATACCAATTGAATTATCATCTCTGTGCCCGAACTCACGATGCCGAACATCTGCATAACTAACATGATGTTGTCACTAGATATCAGCAATCCTTTGGAGACAACGATGGCCAAACACAAGAGAGTCGTCTAACATCCTCAACTCGGAGAGGTCAGGTTTAACAGGCATCGAGCAAAACTGCCCGATCCGATCTTTTACAGCCAGATCAAGATTACTAAGGCGCCAAAAATAACCAAGATTGGCATAAGCCTCTCTGGCTTTCACTATACGTGAATCGATCTCGTCGCTCACGTCACTACCAACACTTACGCAGCTACATAGATGTATGAACTTCTCGACTACTTCTGTCTGCTTACCATCCAGGGTGAGTACTGGATTAGAATCCTGCCAGTCTTGTAGAAGAACTTTGCACTTCGAAGGTGCAAAGCACATACCATACCTACGGACACTGATTGCCAACTGATTAAGTGTGGATTGCATGGCTTGGGTATCGTCGCACAGTAAGACAATATCATTCGCATTCTCAAGTCAGTTTCTTAACCAGAAGGTCGCCAACAACTTTTAAAAGGACTGGAGGTAAGTTATCTGAGTCCGGTGATTTGTAGCGCTTCAGGAATTGGAGTTCCTTGCGGATTTTTACCTCGTTAGGTGGATCGGTCGTCACCGGCCATGGAAGGCAAGACAGTCTGATCGATGATACCGGGTCAGCAGACCAGTTGAACTGCTCCTTGAAAAACTCTGTCCCTCGTCCGAGACGTGGGTAGATGTTATTGATTGGCATCCCGTCATCTTCACAGATTGTTTCACTCACACCAGACTTCTTGCTGCCAGTGACTTGCATGAGTTGAAAAAGCTTCCGGCAGTTATTGGATGCAGCTGCTGCTTCTGACTGATTGTCACGTTCCTACTACCAGGCTTCTCGGTCCTTACTCAAACTTTGCTCAATTCCATTACGTAACAGTCTCCGTTTGTGGTCAAACTCGCGGTCACCCGGAGTAGACTGACGGGCTTCAATGAGTTGTAAAGTACCTGAAGAAACCCAGTGTTTATAAGCGAAACGTTTCGCGAACCCACAACTGACTTTACCCGCCATTTTGATGGCGTTATGCAATTGCAATCAATGCTCACCTATACTTTTCGATGGGATGTTAGCTAGCCTTGAATGTAGCTCGGTTTGATATTTAGTTGCAACAGAAGCTGCAACCAATTCGCTGACATTGATTCGTTTGGGACAGTGAATTTTTTTGGCCACTAAAACGTGAGGTGAGCACAAACAAGAGCACGATCAGAATCCAGATTGGTAATCTAAGAGAATCGGCAGTCTTGTACACAACCATGCGCACAGTAGCTGATCGTCATGCGACTAGTCCGAGTCGAGGTTTGAGATGCAGAGAGAGGACTCCCGGTGGCACATCGGCGATGAATGTACTGATAGTTAGTGCTAACCAGAAGCATATTGTAGTCTGCGCAAAGTTGTAGTACATGGTCACTGTTATCTGACCTGCGACTAACAAATCTCCATCGGCCATCTAAAACGACTCTTTTCTGTGCCTAGAAACCCGACATATCATTTCGAGTTCCCGACTAGTACTGCAATATCCGTCGAACATACGTTTTTAGAACATTTAACCGGTGGTAGTTTAATGCCAGAGTTTACTCTTGGTTTTCCGTTAGGAGTACGCCAAACTGATGACCGTGGTAGGTTTTTATTCAGACCGTGGAATAGAACAGTTGGAATGCGAAGTTGTCTTTTCAAATATACAAAGCTTTCAACATGTAATGTAGGATAATAGGAAATATAATGCTTATGCAAAATTTGAAAGTAAACAAATACCTCAGCCTTAAAGTCTTGACATTAGTAAGACGTTTTCGGCCAATTGTTAACCATCCAACTTAAGTTGTTACATTAGCTTCCTCCTAGAACCGACCTCTGTAAGAATGACTGTTCGATCAATTTATTCGACAAAAGCATATTAATTTTATCCACGAATTACCGTGCCTTTACTATTTTGCATCCCCTCGATGTTAAAACCAGAGCTAGTCAGAAAATAGGAGGTAAGAAATTGAAACAAGGAAACTTGAGGAAGTGCCACGAGCGGTCTACTCAACACTATGTCAGTGAAGTACAATATCTGTCGAACGTACTTTCTGTAGAAGAACAGTCAACTGGTAGTAAAACTCGTCCTTGATCGCATCTGAGCTGCAATCTGTCGGAGTGTAGGTGGATATGACGAAAGGATATCGTTTTTCACACCGACTTCGTTCTTTTATAGAGCTTTCTAATATAACAGTACAATCGACTAGTGCTGCGTCAGTTCTACTGCTTAGTGCGACACCAACACCAGCAGAACCAAACGAAGTTTCTACAAGGTCCCCTAATAATCGCGTGTGAAACGAGCTTTTTGAAGCGACATATTGAGAGCGAATTCGTAGTACTTCACTAGAGTATTGATTACGGTTGACGAATAGATAACATACATCTATGTCGAGACTTTCCAAAAACATAGCTAACCCGATCTGTTGTCCGTTCCGCATTATTGTGCGAACGTTGAAGGAGTCTAGTTTGAATGGTATACGTGGTTTCAGAATTTTTATTTGGCGGTAGCATTCACCATAAGTAGGCTGTTGTATAAGTAGAGAAATAAAAGAACATACTAAGTGAGAATAACAGAGAGTAGACAAAATACGTTGAGTAAAAGTAATAAAAACGAACGATATCAAATGATTGTGAATATTATTTGTCTCAATGCGAGTTGAAACAAGAATCATTTTCCAGCAGTGGTTATATATTGATTTGTGTGTTGTCTGGAATACTACCGAGGTGCCTAAGATGAATCAGGTTGTTTTCCAAAGGGGGCTACACTCTGGGGTTTTGACCTAAAGGTCTAATGCACAAGTCAGTAGGTCAACGTTAGGAGATGTAGTCCCATAGTAGCCGGTGACCATATCCCTTTTGTTCCCTCAGGATTCCAAAATGAACGTACACCAGTGATTCGGAGTCAGGGCTTCCCAACTGTACTATGTGGAACCTCCGTACTCACCAACCTCTTTAAAGCATTATATATTCACTTTTCGTCCTCTCAATTTCATAAACAACACCACCGTGAGAAGTCAGTGAGTAGAATTTTTCTGACAGTGGCTGTATACGCGTGGCCATGTAAGAGTATTTTGAGAGGGAGAATGCTCTCTCCTCACCTTTGGCTGTACCAGAGCATTTGGGTGCGGATTCTACCACTATTGCATTGTTTTGTTTTTCAGTTACACTCCACAAATAAGGATGGTTGAATATTCACTATTTAGTGAGTTCACTTCTAATTAACTCAAGTGCAGGAATCAGTTAAAACAATAAATATATATTTCACCTGACCAGGGAAGTGCATTAAACACGCACTTATGCAGCTCAATTTGCATTCCAAGTAAGTAAACGTGATTGTAACTGGTCATCAACTGAAGATTTGACAATCGTGTAACTTTTCGTATCTTGGTATGTTACTGTTAAGCAGATAAGACAAACCTGATTATGTGTATCCTAAAATAACTTGTGTTTCTTAGAATAATGATGATGGTTTAGTTTCCGGTATTCATTTCCAAACTTCTGGGAAAATTGGAAATGACTTGGGAGGAAATACCATGCAATCATATGATAATCATAATCACAACAAAGGTCGTCGATTTCGCTCTTTAGTTAAATGTTGGTTAACATTAAGTCATGATTTTAATGGATACAAGAAGCAATGACTGAATTTAAATGCGGAGTAAATTTTATGCTGAATCTCGTTCACATTCTTTTTCAACTGATAACTCTAATTCTTTAAGGTTTTGTGATAAATTTATATGTTCCATCTTACAAATGAATGTTAAATATATATTTGCGTTCTATTTTCTCTTTTTGATTTACATTTTGCATGCGTGTTGTGTGATTCATGACCTTTGCTTGCTAATTGTGCCTATGATCCCTGTTGTTGTGTTAAGTAGACTACGCCAACAAACTAATGCATAAGTAATTTTTGGTGTGTTATTTCCTGCTGAATTTTGGTCACTATACAAATCAGTAGCTTATTCCTGATACTAGTATCATGAAAAGATCCATTGTTTTTCGGCCTAATTATTGTGAGCCCTCAGACATCTCTCTTTCTGTTCAACTTATGAATTAAGCCTTTTTCCTTAATTTCTATCGGTTCCGTTTGATATTTTCATAACTAAAACCCACTTGGTCCTAGGCCACTCTAACCAAAATTCAATTTTTTGAATACTGGTTTTGACTGACCTCATTTCACAGTAACTCCTTATAAATAGTCCTTCAGACATTATAACTTCTCCAATATGTATTAAACACTTGCTTATTTTCTTTAATTTGCTGTTTACCTTCTGATAGTAGTTTCAATGTAAATCGGAAAATTACATTATTAAACCATGATGATATTAACCATGCTTTAACTGTTTATGAAATTCCACGTATTTTCTACTCACAATGACGTCGTTTATTTTTCATTGAAGGTCTCCTATTTCAATTATCGGATGCCTAGTTTAAGTGTTCAAGCGAGTTCAGCACTTCAATTTGATATTTTATTTGAATGTCCTCAAACTCGTGCGCGATGCTGTAACCTTTGGTTACCACATTGTCCTGGTGGACCAGTAGAAACTCCAGTTTTCATGCCGGTCGGTACACAAGGTGCTATGAAGGGTATCACTGTAGGTCAGTTAGAACAATTGGATTGTCGAATTTTACTTGGAAACACTTATCATTTAGGGCATCGCCCAGGACCAGAAGTTCTCAGAAAAGTATGATTTTATAAATATTCCAACTTCATTTTCTATTATTTGATATTCAACTTGACGTTGTTGTTTTTAACGCTTAATATAATCAGTTACAGACATTTTAGGACTTTGGACTAATGTATAATGGTACAGGTTGACACATCCCTGTCCGGCAGATAGAGATAAAAAATTAACACGATCAAGTGAAAAGGAAAAAAAATTATTATCTATTCAGATGAAAATTTGTAAACTTAAGTGCTTTGTTCTAAAGGAACAAATAAAAGTGAAGAATCTAAAGTACACAATAACAACTAAGATTAAAATATAGAGTCTTAGTTCATATCACCCATCTTTAACCATATATTATAATAATTAAATAAACCCCAACTAGAAATCCTAAGTATCCCTATATGGCTCAGGTCGGCAGTCATTGATTGTAGAGACTGATGACCTTTCCCGTTTCGGATGGCTCCTAGATCCTCCAGCATTATGAGTCCTGGTAAGCGATAGTCAAAGCATAACACTAAGTTCAATAGCAGAACGGACAATATCCACCTTATACAGTAGCTTTACTAGCACATCAGGGTTCAACCTTTTGTGTCACAGCCCTCAAATGCCCTAGTATAGCCGAGAGTAGGGTGGGTTCGCCCTCCCTCTCGAAATACTCTCACATGGCCACGCGTATACAGCCTTTGACAGGGAAGTCCTACTCACTGCCTTCTCGTGACGGGGTTGTTGCTTACGAAAATGAGAGGACGAAAAGCGAATGTCTGGCGCTTTAACCGGATCCCAAATCAATGGTGCACATGGGCTCCAGTATCCTGAAGGAACAAATGGCGTATGAACCAGTCGTTGGTCACCGGCTACAATGGGAATGAATCTCTTTACGATGCTCCACTGCCTTGTGGATCAGATCTTCAGGTCGAAGTCTCGAGGTGTGGCCCCCTAAGAGAACCACCTGCTTCGGTTTGGGCAGTATCTCAGCCCACATACAAAAACATTATGAACAGTCTACTTATGGAAAATATTCTATTCGCCCCGATTAACAACCAAATAACTCGCATTATTATTATTACTACTACTACTACTATTGTTATTATTATTATTTACTACGTCATTTATTCACTCCCTTTTATTCCTACTCTATCTATCCTTATTTTTCGACTTATACAGCAGCTCGTCTATAGTGGAGTTACTGTCTGGTTGAAAATTGTACGTTACCACCGAATACGAGTACTGAAGCAGTTTTTCTGAAACCACTTGCACCATTCAAACTGGCTGCCTTCAACGTTCGCACACTTATGCAGGTCGGACAACAGATAGGGCTGGCTATGTCTTTGGAAAGTCTTAATATCGATGTTTGTTGTCTATCCGAGACCCGTATTCCAGACTCTGGTGAAGTACTACAAGTTCGCTCTCCAACCGTCACTTCGAAAAGCTTGTTTTACGTGCGTTTATCCGGGGACCCTGTGGCATCTTCGTCTGGTCTTGCTGGCGTTGGTGTCGCACTAAGCGCCAGAGCTGAGGCAGCACTAATCCACTGGATCCCCATTAACAGTCGGTTATGTGGTATTAGATTAGAAAGTTCCATCAAATTGAGAACAAATCGGCGTGAGAAACAATGTCTTTTCGTCATCTCCGCCTATGCCCCGACAGATTGCAGCCCGGATGCAATCAAGGACGAGTTCTACCATCAACTAACTGTTCTTCTCCAGAAAGTGCGTTCGACAGATATTGTAGTTCTAGCCGGAGACTTGAATGCTCAGGTCGGCGTCTAGGCACAGAAGAGAGTCGTTTAGGTGGCCGATGGGGACTTGTTGGTCTCAGGACAGATAACGAGGACCGTCTACTGCAGCTGTTCACAGACCACAACCTGTTTCTGTCTAGCACTAACTTTCTGCATAGTCATCACCGATGTGCCACCTGGAATCCTCCCTCTGCATCTCCGGCCTGGACTCAGATTGATCACATCGTGATCAGCTACTGCTGGCGTGGTTGTGTACAAGACTGCCACTCCTTTTAGATTACCTATCTAGACTCTGACCATGTCCTGGTCTGCGCCAATCTTACCTTACTTTTCAGTGGCTGATGGAGTGACCGCCACTAAAGGATTGATGTTAGCAAGCTGGCTGCAACTTCTGTTGCTAGTATGTACCGAACCGAGCTAGCTTGTAGGCTAGCTACCATTCCACCGAAAAGTATAGATGAGCATTGGTTGCAATTGCATGACGCCATGAAAATGGCGGGTACAGTCTGTTGTGGGTTCGCGAAACGCCCCGCTTACAAGCACTGGGTTTCTTCTGGTTCCTTACAACTCATTGAAGCCCGTCGGTCCATTTCGGGTGACCGTGAGTTTGACCACAGACGAAGGATGTTACGTAATGAAATCGGGCAAAGCTTGCGTAAGGACCGAGAAGCCTGGTGGTTGGAGCGTGCTAACGAGCTGGAAGTAGCAGCTGCATCTGATAACTACCGGAAGCTCTTCCAACTCATCCGAGACACTAGCAGCAAGAAGTCTGGTGTGAGCGAAACAATCTGCGAGGATGACAGAACGCCAATCACTAACATCCATCGACGTCTTGGACGATGGGCAGAATTCTTTGAAGGGCAGTTCAACTGGCCTGCTGCTCCGGCAACATCGGTCAGACTGTCCTGCCCTCCATGGCCGGTGATGACTGATCCACCAAATGAGGTGGAAGTCCGCAAGGAACTCCAACTCTTGAAACTTTACAAATCACCGGACCCAGATGACTTACCTCCGGCTCTTTTTAAAGATTGTGGTGACTTTCTGACTAAGGAGCTGACGACGTTGTTTGCAAAGGTCTGGGAACTAGAGAGTGTACCAACGTCATGGAATGAGTCGATAGTTGTCCCTATCTTTAAAAAGGGTTCACGTTGTTCCTGTAACAACTATCGGGGGATAAGTCTACTTCCGATTGCGTCCAAGCTATTGGCTTCCGTCATACTTCGTAGGTTGTTCAGAACCCGAGAAAGATTGACTCGCGAGGAGCAGGCTGGGTTTCGTTCTGGTCGAGGATGTATTGATCATATCTTCACCCTCCGCCAAATGTTAGAACACCGTCATATTTATCACAAACCAACAATCGTAGTGTTTCTTGACATCAGGGCTGCCTTCGATTCGTTGGACAGGACTGCTCTTTGGGATTGTCTATTGAAGAAGGGTGTGCCCGAGAAGTTTATTAACATCCTGAGGGCTCTATATACAAACACCTCGGGTAGAGTGAGGGCATACAACCACCCCTCTCCATTGGTCCATTCAAGCAGTGGGGTTAGGCAGGGTTGCCCAATCTCACCATTCCTCTTCAACTTTGCCATCGATGACATTCTGGAAACAGCTCTGACGGATGTAAGTAATGGTGGTGTGGATCTGTTGCCTGGAGAAAGACTTCCCGACCTTGAGTAGGCGAATGATATTGTCTTACTGTGCGAGAATGCCGAAGCCATGCAATCCACACTTAATCAGTTGGCAATCAGTGTCCGTAGGTATGGTATGTGCTTTGCACCTTCGAAGTACAAAGTTCTTCTACAAGACTGGCAGGATTCTAATCCAGTACTCACTCTGGATGGTGAGCAGATTGAAGTAGTCGAGAAGTTCGTGTATTTGGGTAGCTCCATAAGTGCTGGTGGTGGTGTGAGTGATGAGATCAATGCACGTATAGTGAAAGCCAGAGCGGCTTATGCCAATCTGGGCCATCTTTGGCGCCTTCGTGATGTTAGTCTGGCTGTAAAAGGTCGGATCTACAACGCGACGGTGAGAGCAGTTTTGCTCTATGCTTGTGAAACCTGGCCTCTCCGAGTTGAGGATGTTAGACGACTCTCTGTGTTCGATCATCGTTGTCTCCGAAGGATTGCTGGCAACCAGTGGCCACACCATGTCAGTAATGCAGAGGTTCGGCATCAAGTGTTCGGTCACAGAGACGATAATGCAATTGGTGTCACCATCTTGAAACACCGACTTTGGTGGCTTGGACATGTTCTACGAATGTCGTCCCAGAGAATTCCACGTCGTGCATTATTTGCCGACTCTGGGACTGGTTGGAAAAAGCGGAGATGTGGTCAGTATATGACATGGTGTCGTGGTATGAAAGAAAGCTGCAAAGGGCTGGCTTGTGTTGGTCCTTCACGACTCCTTGGTTGGGGTCCGAGAGATGGTGTAACACAGTGGTTAGAGACGTTATCAGACATGGCTCAGAATAGAAGCCAGTGGCGATCTTGCTGTAACCTTCTTTTACTTTCTTCATAAAAAGGGGTTGCTTCTTCCTTAACTGAAAGATTTCTTCTGATTGTTATTATTATTATACTACCTTACACTAATCTGTTCGCTATTGTTCCTTTTTCTTCTTTTACGCTCCTTACCCTCCTTTTTTTGCTTTTCCCTTCTCTCCAAATTCTCATTGTTTTGTGTGGCGCATATATATTTGATGCCTTTTTGTACCGATATTCATGTGTTCAAATAAATAAATAAATAAACTATGTGATATGACTGAATAGTTAATTGATAAAATGTTTCAATTACTATTGGTCGATGATTACTAGACTG